TTAAAGCAGCACCAGCCACCGTGTTCAGCAGGCTTGAAAGTCCCCTGGTTTACTAAACATCCTCAGCCCTAAGGTCATTAGGTCTCAATCAAACCAGGGAATTCAGACTAAAACAGTGACTGTCCCAGCACTGAAGCTCATAAGCTTTTATCTGTTCCCATGAACTCTCCTTTACCTAAATCCAATATTAACAGTGAGAGCATCCAACACACTCATGAGAAGCAAAGTGTGAAACAGAGGGACCACACAAGAGGAGGTGAGAACGGAGCACCTAACGTGAGCCATGTGTGTGAAGGATGAGTTTGTCTACAGAGGTGCTGCCAGCAACGTGAACTTCAAGGATGGCTTCTGCTTTTTAGCACACACAGCAGCCAAGAACAAGCAGAATTCCCAGCGATGGGGTCTTCACTCAGCTGAACTGACAAGATGTGCTCTGATGAGAGGTTAACCCAGCCTTTCTCAAGCACTGGCAGCTGCAGCAGCCCACGCAGAGCTGCCTGTATTTACTGTGGGAGCACTGACTGCCTGGTGTGTCACAGGGCACCAGGCCAGGCACACTTGCAGCCCTGACAGCCACCATCCCTTGGCCATGATCTCTGCCACGTCAGGAGGTCTTAGCAGCAGTCATCGCATCGAGGAACTAATGCCATGCAAGTGAGTAACTGTCTTGAGCACAAATTCATAAGATGCTGCTATTCCTGCTTAGTGCTAAAGTTCAGTGCCTCTTTCATCATACTGGAAACTTGTCAGGAGCTGCTCTTATTCAGTTCAGTAGAGCAGCCTGTCTCCAAGACCTTGCTCCTCACTCCAGATACAGTGAGGGCAGTGCCTCCTGCAGCACCTCACTGTGCTGTGGTCCTACACCACAGATGCCACTGTCCCCTCTGGCAGGAGAACCCCTGTGCCCTCTGTTTCTGTGCTTGTGTGAGACCAGACTGATCATGGACTTGGAAACAGAGTGGAACATGAAGACTGATGGCAGTTCTGAGGATAATGAAGTCTTTTGTTGTGCAGAAAAAAGAAGGGGCAATGATCTTCCAATGCAGTTTTGTTAATGGTGTCTCAGGTGCATGGGGCACTCTCTAAAGCAGACATATCAGCCCAGGAACTCCTTTCACATTCTGAACATGTGTGATTTTTCATCACCCTTTTTCTCTGGAGGCAAAATAGAAAAAACCCAAATCATCCAATATTCCAGGTCCTGAAAACTGACTGTACCAACTGTTACCTGATAGACTGGAAGGCAGCACCAGGGGAATCTGTGGTGGAGTCCAGCCAGGATTGGTTTGCAGTGGGAACCCAGGGCAACCCAAAAACATTCCCAGGCCCTGCTCCCACATCCAAGGGTTTGGGATTATCCAGCAGCCCTTGCATCACAGCACAGCCCTGTTGATATCCTCATGCTATAACCTTGGACAGGAGCCATCCTTGAACTGCTTGAGAGACATTTATAAATCAAGAGCAACGGCCAGAAATATGAAAGCCATGGGTGGTCCAAGTCCATGGGTCACTGTGCCTGGGCCCTCAGGGCTCAGTGACACTCTGCAGGTGTGAAAGAGGCACACAGGGATATGTTCTCATTTTAACCAGGCAAATCCAGCTAGGCTGCAAAATCTCCACGATGGTAATTGGGTGTCACTGTTATGGAGAGTGCTGGAAAGCAGAAGAGACAGAGAACAGGTCTCAAGTAAATTATTTGCACCAAAGAGCTATGCAAAGCCTCTGAGGAATTCAGATATGTACATTGATTTTATTTGATAAGATGGGTTATTTCTAGCCTACTGACCTCTTCAAGGTAACTAAATCCCACTCTGCTGAGGTACCTCTGTCTCTCTACACCAGGTACTCACCTGTAACTCCACCAATATGGCTCCAGACAGGGTGACAGCTAAAAGATCTCAAATTTGCATTACTTTACATAATGTCTAACAAACACTGTAAGTGCCAAACTCTACCATGTGAGGTCGACAAGGGTAACATCCAAACCCTGAAGAAACACCCATGCTCTTCTGACTTAGAGCACTGTCAGCATGACAGAAAACCACTGCCACCTCCAAGAGAGTTCAGTGCCAAACCATGACCTCTCACATCTGGCTCCTCACAGAGGCAAGCACAAAGCAAAACTGCCACACAGGCAGGGAGCTCACAGGGGAACACTACAGTGACTTTAGCAACTGAGCACTCAACAGCAAACAGCAGCTCTGCAGACATCTGCCAACACCTTCAGGTGCTGCCTGCACAGCCACAGGCACAGACAGGCTTTGGCTGTAGGTGACAGCAGCTTCCAGACAACAGCAAATCTGATGCCACAGGCACCCAGAGAGGGTGGAAGCTGCCCTAATGGATGGGGAATGCAAATGCCAGGGCCTGCTTCTGCTCACAAGATTGCATCACAGCAGAGAGCAGCAGGGGACCTCCATGGCTCCTGCAGCCAGCAGAAGGTCAGTTCAGCAGGTCCATGTCTTCTCCTGGCTGGCAAAGCAGGCTCCATTCCTGCCCCCAGCTGCAGGCACACAGGCACAGGAGCACTGTCACCGTGTGTCACCAGGCACAGCCCTAAGGCTCACTGCAGAAGCAGAGTGACAACAGCACTGCTGCTGCTCCTGCAGGGTGTTTGTCGAGGCTGGCCTTGGTCCTGGTGCAGGTGGCCCCAGGGGAAGGAGGATTGGCATCTGTGGCACACCAGCAAGAACAATCCTTCTTGCTATAGCAAAAGGGAAGCCAAGATGAAACCTGTAAGCCTTTAATTACCATGGTAAGCTATTAAAATCTCAATAACTACTTTTTCTGTGTCAACCCAGTATGCTACAGTCTTCATGCAGCGGAACCTAGCAGCTGGTTTATGAGGTTCCATTTTCACTCTCCCTAAAGTAACGTGTTTTTTTAGACTTTCCCATCCAAATACAGGAAAACCCTAGTTTCAGCATGAAGCCAGGTTTCACATGTAACTTGGGTCTTTTATAAAGGTCTGGATCAACAATCTTGTTAAAGCGTCTCCATGTTCTGGAGGTGACCTGAGCCTACTCTCAAATACTCAGGATGCTTCTATTTCCTCTGGCACCTCTGTGTGACCCCGCCTAGCCTGTGTTCAGTTCACAAAACAGTCACTGCTGTGTTGTAAGGAAAAGGAGATAGTTCTAAACACACACTGCTTTATGTTTGTCTCTGCAGGTTCTCAGGGTAAATCCGAAGGCTAAGCCTCCTTGCAAGTCTCAGCATCCTGTCGGGGCCAGAGGAATGTCACAGTAAGTGGTCCAGATATTATTGGATCAAGGATACTCAGCCTCCTAAAGCCTCTGTCTCCATCCTGCCCTGGTTTTTTTCCCCACACACTGAGAAAAAGCAGAGAGCCACCAGTGTTTTTCTGTCCATTGCTTCCTCAGCCAGTGCAGTCCCTCACAACCATTCAGTTCACCACAGTTACACCACTTTAACTCAGCCTAATCTACTGACACTCAGAGAGCAGCTTACACATGTTTTAAATTATTATTTACATAATTCTAAAATATTTTGCAAGGATCAGTTTAGGCTCATCTTCAGCAAGAGTCTAAGAGGGAAGGGTCAGCATGGATATCAAGGTCTGGACCCTAAGCTCTGAAAAAGGGCTTTGTGGCTTGGAACATTTCCTAGTCAGAATTGCCAGGAACTGATGGAGCAGGTGACAGGGCTGGGAATGCCCAAGGGGCTGCCACAGTTACACTTCAAAGAGTCACTTCAGAACAGAGAGCTGGCTTAGAGCACTTATGTGGCCAAGAGCTGGGAAAAAAGTCAGAACACCTAGAGACAGATTCACACCTTAACCCAGGCTGGGAGGGAAAGAGATGAAAACATGGGTTATTTCAAAGACAAGGTTTGCCATTGTGACAGCAAAACAAACCCAAGCACTTCAGTTGCACATTTATATGCAAGACACATGGTTCCAAAGCTAAAGGAGACAGAGATGAGTGCACATCAACACTCCACCATGGAACAAGGACGTATCTGGCACTGCCAGATTATTAATATTTTATTATCTCAAAACTGCCCTTCTTGCTCAATCAGAGGCCTTACTGGAACTTCTGTGATAGCTAAGCTTTAACAGAGGATGTAAGGACAGTAGGAAAATCCTGCTCATTTCTCTGTGCTCAGCCTCACTGTAGCAATCACAGACACGACACTAGCCAGGGAGTGACCTGCTAAACCAGGTCAGGATCTCTCTAGAAGGGGACAGCTGCTGGCAGCAGCACTGATCTTTACACTGCACTGCCTGCACTTCCTCTGGCACTGCACGAGTGGGACAGGAACAACAGGGCAGATTCCAGGCTGTTAGTCATTAATGACAGCCCTGCTGAGCCATGGGGGCATTGCTACCATGTGCTAGAAATGCTGATGAACTCAGGGGGAAAAAAGCATAACTGCTGCTTGGTGCACAGATATTCTCCTGGGACAGGGACAAGGCAGGAAGGAGAACTGCTATAAAACCCAGGAGATGGTTCATAGGCGCAGAGCTGAGTTTACAGTATCAGATGACCCCAAGTCACAGGCTGCTGCACTGCCTGCACTTCCTCTGGCACTGCACGAGTGGGACAGGAACAACAGGGCAGATTCCAGGCTGTTAGTCATTAATGACAGCCCTGCTGAGCCATGGGGCATTGCTACCATGTGCTAGAACTGCTGATGAACTCGGGGAAAAAAGCGTAACCTCATTTCAAACAATTTCTTATACTCCCAGGCATGAGGTCAGAGCTCCAGAGGGCCAAACCCACGGCAACCAACTCCAGATTCAGTGGAGCTCTTTGTACATCTCCTCAGTGGAGAGGTGTTTGTACCACCAGGTCCCCCAGCCACACCTGAGCTTTCCCTATCCACGTGCTATTCCTTGTGATGGACAGAAAGGAGATGGTTCCCTTGTAACCAGGGTGACATCTGAGGTGGGGAAGGGAGTGAGGGATGAAGGGCTTGGGTTTTTTTCCATTCTGACATTATAATAATTTAAATTCTCTCTCTCTTTTCTTGAGCAGAGGCTTGTTCATCAGCAGTACCTGGTAAGTATGCTGTGCATTTTTTGTTAGACTCCTCACCACACTCAGTATTTCCCACCTCATCCAAAATAAAACAATGATGTCCAAAGGTAGCCAGAAGACAACAGTCAGTCGAGCCAAGAGCTTTCAAGTTCTTAATTTTGATGCAAGCACCCAAAAGGACCTGATTTTTTCAACAACACTTGGAAAAAATATCAAGCCTTTTACATTCAGCCAATGAAGAGTACCCTGTGCTAAGAGAAAGCATATCTACCATTCTGACCTATAACCTTTTAAACTTGCACAAGAAATGACAGAATTTAGGGAAAAAACAAAAACAAAACAAAGCCACAAACAAAAACAACTAAACAAACAAAACATCCACCACAAAAATGTAGTTTTTTTCATTAATGTCAAAGGAAGAGTCTCCTTTAATCTTGCTCCTTCTAAACCCTTTCACTTCCCATGCCCTCTACATCACTTTTTTTGCACTCTGTTAGTGCCAATCCCCACCACTAAGTAAAGAGTCCTGTAAAGAGCAGTTCCTACAAGTTACGCTTTGCCTCTTGTGGTACATCATGCCTGAATCTCTTATTTCAGAGGAAGTCTGCACCCTGGTTATTACAGAAGCTTTCCCAGAAGACTCTGGAATATTTAAATGTGTTGCTGAAAATGAATTTGGGTCTGCAGCATCCAGTGCACATCTCTCTGTTTCCCCAGGTAAGCACATGGATTTCTGTGTTGAGCAACTAAACACAAAACAATTTGCTGTGCTCAACATCAGGCAGAATCACAGATATTTCCCAAGCAGAAGCCAGACCCAAACTATTTTGTAGGCTCAAGAGGAGAGAAATGCCCAAAAAATGCAGTCTGCTTGGGTACCTCTCAAAGCTGGATGCAAGATGTTCTGTGTTTGTGCTTTTGGTCCCTCTTCTTCCTGAGTCAAGGATGACAAGGTGGAGATGCTGTTCCCTCTCTCAGAGGAGTCTCATCCCTGAGCTTCATCCCTCCAGGGATTCCAGCTTGGCCCAACATTGGCCATGTCTATTCCTTGTTTATGGTTCCACCTGACCTGTTTGGCTCGTGCTGGAAGCCATATGCCACCAGAGCAGCACCTGGCAGGTACCCAGAGCTCAGCAGCCCTGCCAGAAGCCAGGTTTGGCTCGTGCAGCTGTGCAGGTTTCAGTCTGTGCAGAGCAGAATGAGCCTCATCCTCCTGCTCAGACATTGCAGTTTCCCATGCCCTGTTACTGCAGTGCTGCACTGGTGAGCCTCCACTGCTCCCAGCCTGACATGGGGACAATTCTACTTCCAGGAGCTAAAGAGCTGGAGAGCTTTGGAGGTGCTGTCCCCAGGCCAGCTGTGCAGGTCACCATGAAGAAAGCCACCCTCCCCAGGAGCAGCCAAGCAGGAGCCAAGGAGCGAGGGGCAGCTGCTCTGCCATCCTACAGCCCAGAGAGCCCCGGGCTGGGCACTCGAGCTGCAGCCTCCAGCTTTGGCCAGAAGAGCTCCAAGAGCCAAGCTGAAGATTTCCATGGAACTTACGAGAACTCCCCTGGGGCTTTGCCTCCGCGGTAAGACAGAGAAAATCACACCCCAGAGAAAGTCACACCCCTGGGGCAGCTCTTTACAACACTTACGGCATGAACTGCTCAGGGATGCCAGCTGCACACTCCAGTGCCCCTCAGCCTGACAGGGATCGGGCACAGGCAGCAGCCTGAGCTGTTTGCCTGGGTGACAATGACAATGTGCAGCACCATCCTGGCAGGTCCCATTTGACCAAGGGTGTAACCACCCAAAGCACCAGGGAAGGGCCTGAAGTCGTTTGCAGGAGTCTGTCTGTGTCTAACCTAAAAGCATCACTCCAAAAAATTGTCTTCCAGGAGACCTTTGGCTCCACAGCAGAGCATGAGGCAAAGATCACAGTACCTGGGAAAGCTCAAGGTACAATTCTGTTGCCACCACCTTCCTTGGTGGCTTTGGCCGAGCGGCATCACCTCATGTTTCTGTTTCCTATTCTTAAAGACAGCAATAAAACTTGAGATCCTGTAAGTGTGGTGCAGACAGGACCTGCAAACCACTCTGTGGAGGAAAAGCACCGAACCAGTGACCCACTGCATAGAAGGAAAACTGTCCCATGGCATGGCAGGGACACTCCCCCCTCAGGAGATGGAGATCCTGCCCCAGTAATAAAGCACTCAGTTTTATGACAAGACTTGATCCAATTTCCATCCCAAATGCATCTCTCAAGTCACTGCACACTTATTGCATTATCAGTTCTGTTTGATTGCTCCAGAGAAACAAGTCAGGTTAGAATGCATAGATTGGTGACATCACCCCCATCTCTGGAGGGCTTCTCAGGGGTTTGCAGATGCAAGGATGACCTCGAATGGTGACAGTTCAGCCATCCAAGCCCAGCAGAGGATTCCCCCTGTGCTCTTAGGGACAGCGAGAGCTACGTGTGCCTGCTCTCCCAGCTGAGTGCCAGCCTGCAGCTGCAGGGATCCTGTTACAGACTTGTGGAAACGGCTGTCCCTGACAGAGACCATTCCCTGGCTTACAGATTATTTTTGGATGTACTCAGCCATTTTAACTAAACCAGTTATTTTAACAATTCTGAACAGCCTCCTTCAAATTTTACCACAGGAGAGATCATATTTCAGTATAGATATCTCCATGCAGGAGAGTTACTTTTTTGCTAAATCACTGGGTAAAAATGGTTTTGTTCCAATAACCAGCATGCAGATCATTAAGAGGAAGCTCTCAGTTTGGCTTCAAGCCCTTCTTTGAAATCCAGGCTTGCTCCAGGGAAATCAGCTGGGACCCTAAGCAGACCCTAATGCATAAAGGGATTTACCTTGCCACCAAAATCAGCTATGTAATAGCTTTTTAAAATGTAGGCTACGTGCGTGTGTATACATATATAAACGTAATCAAAAAATATTAACTAGTCCAGACTTCGGACACATCACAAAATACAGAGAGAAACTATTAAAATTTCTAGATATAGGTATCTATGAGAATTTAAATACCTTCAAATCTCACAGACATACTGCCAGGTGCTTTGAAACATCATTATGAATGTGACTCAGCATTGTAAATGTTGCTGTTACCTCAAACTCAGCAATCAGGGCTAATGGCTTGCTGTAAAATAACTGTCTTGTTACTCAGATTTAGCATATAATTCCCTCATGTGGTTCAACTGTATTACCAAGGCAAATACCAACAAAGGCAGTGATGACAGAACAATGCAATTATTGGGAATAGCTATAAAATGAATGAAATCCTTGTGCCCATATTCTCCCAATTATTGCCTAGCAACAGGCACTCCACAAAAGCCAGAAAATGCAATTCAAGACTGTCACTACCAGCTACTCCTTTCTGAGCCCTTTACACCTGCAGCTTGCAGTGTCCTCAACAACACTGAAGCAGAATAAAGCATTCAAACTTAATTAAAGAAATTCAATCCAAGCAAAAGAAGAGGCTTCAGGCACTAATATACTTCCAGGTATTTTAGTATTCAGCTTTTAAGTACCTTAATTAATAAGCAACAGATCCTTAACTCTTTTTCTAGACATTTTTTGCTATATGACTCAAGCAGTGAGGAGAAAGAACCCAATCAGAAGCAGCAGGGCACCATTCTTAGAGAGTAAACTGAAGCAGGACAGAAAAGCTGATTTCTGACACCTCGCAGTGCTGGTCACAGTGCTATTAAGTTACTTGACACAGGAGATGAGATTTATCCCTCTGCCTTCATCAGTTCAGCTTCCAGTTCTCTCACCTTTTTTCCTACCTTCTGGATGTCACGTTTTCCTGTTCCTTCTCTTTCACACAAGCTGTCCCGGTTGTGTCCACTCTTTTAAGTGTGTAAAACTGTCCTTAAATTGATGCCTCGCAGCCAGCTTTAGTGCTAAGTTGAGGTTGGTGGGAAGCCAGGGAGCCTGTCTGAGCACGGAGCCTGCCCTTTACTGTGCTCACAGCGTCCTGCAGGGCAGTGATCATGACCCACGTACCTTCTTACAAGCACTCGCCTCTCTCTATGCAAACCACCTATTTTTAATTATTTTACTTTTTTTTTTTGTTTTGTTTTGGTTTTTTTTGGTTTTTTTTGTTTGTTTGTTTGGGGTTTGTTTGTTTGTTTTGGGTTTTTTTTGACGTAAAAAGCAAATAACGTCTCAGAGAAGTAGGGACGAATTCCCTCCCTTTTTTTTTTTTTTTTTTTTTTTTTTTTTTGTTTTTTTTTTTTTTTTTTTTTTTGATGTAAAAAGCAAATAACGTCTCAGACAAGTAGGGACGAATTCCCTCCCTTAATCACTTCCACGCGAGGAATTTATATAAATTAGCACTCAATTAACACCTGCTCTGTAGTTTTAGCTCGCAAACGATGTTTAAACACAAGCTCTGGAGGTGGATTAACCTCGTGAAGATCTCAGTGCCGACAGACTCCCGGGCACAGGGGAGGAGATGGGAGCAGCTGAGAGCGCACACGCAGCCCAGCTGCGGGACTTTGGGGCGTTTTTAAACAACAGGCGATGGTTGCCGAAGTATAATTAAGACATTTAAAACACTATAATGTTAATTTAAGGTGTAATTAGGCATTGAAGCCAGCCTAACCTGCCAGCAGGATCTGCTGCTGTTCTGGTGAGAACAGCACAGCTGCATTTTTTCATCCGTGTAAAAAGCTGTAATAACAAACACGAGCAGCAAAATATTAACATGTCCCGCATTTTGATCATATCCTTTGCACAAGGCTAGTTTCGTTACTCAGTTTATGCCTGCTCAGACACAGACACATCCATAAGCAGCGCCCCTGCTCCTGACCGAGCTCCCTGCCGGAGCGGGGCTGGGGAGGCGACCCTGGCCACGGAGGGAGGGCTCGCTCGGGGCTGCGGCGGGGGGGGTTTAATGCACCTTTAAACCTGGCTCTCGAGTGTGTGTTGAGTGCACAGCCTTAAAATCGGTAGCAGAGCTTTATCACTACAGAGGCAATTAGCTACAAACAATTAGGTAATGAGTTAAACAAGGAGTTTAGACCCACATCCCGCAGAATGGTTTGGGCTGGAAAGGACCTTACAGATGGCATTTTTTCTGCCATAGGCAGGAGCACCTTTCACTAGACCAGGCTGTTCAGGGCCCCATCCAACCTGGCCTTGAACACCAGCTGTCAGTCACAGCTCCTCTGGGCAAGAATTTCCTTGGGATAATAAAGTGGGATTTCGGGACGTTCAAGCATACTGCAGCGGTCCTTGCTGCTGCTCCCTGACGGGCAGAACACCTGCATTTCTCTTGAAAAGCTGGCGACTTTTGCGGGTCTGCCCCTTCTGCTGAGCCAGGGACGCTCCCGGCAGCGCTGAGCCGGGGCCGCTGCCCCTCGGGGCCGGGACAGAGCGGGATAGAGCCAGACAGAGCCGGGATAGGGCAGGGACAGAGCCGGGACAGAGCAGGGGCAGAGCCGGATAGAGCCAGACAGAGCCGGGATAGGGCAGGGACAGAGCAGGGGCAGAGCCGGATAGAGCCAGACAGAGCACAGAGCCGGGATAGGCAGGGACAGAGCCGGATAGAGCCAGACAGAGCCGGGATAGGCAGGGACAGAGCCGGATAGAGCCAGACCAGAGCCGGGATAGAGCAGGGACAGAGCCGGGATAGGGCAGGGACAGAACCGGACCGAGCCGGGACAGAGCCGGTCCGAATCAGCAGCCACAGCAGCAGCGGTGCCTCGGGGCTTCGGGCGGTGCCAGCGCTGCCGGCCGGGATGCGCTGCCGGCCGGGATGCGCTGCCCGCGGGCACCTGCCCAAGTCCCGGCCCCGGCCCTTGCACAGCGTCCGGCTGTGTAGAGACTCTTATTGTGACAGCGGCGGGGCCGGGGACAGGCCGGTCCCGCCGTGTCACCGCTGGCAGCACGTTAAAGCCCCGGGCTCGCACCGCCGCGCAGAGGGCGGCTATGACAGTGAATGACCGTCCTTCCCAAAATACCGGCCGCGGCCCAGGTGACAGCTCCTAGGCTGTAGGTAAGGCGCTTGCTGGGGTTTTTGCACGTCACTTTTCACTCGGAGGCTGGTTAGGGAGGCGGCGTGAGGGACTGCTGGGAATGCTGAGGTGGAGCCGTACCTGGAGGGTGCGGGAGCGTCAAAGGGAACGTGGGCAGCAACGGAGCCAAAATCACGGGTTTGTTCTTCAGCAGGCAAGCTGTCCCTGTTATTAAGTACTGTTTTCATCTTGCAAAGTCAAATGTCTCTTCGGATTTATTTTTTTCCCTCCCAAATCAAGGCGGAATGATTTGAGGAAAACATGGCTTATCCCTTGCTGTGAGAAGTGACGCTGTGAACCAGAGCTTGGTTAAGTGCAGTGCTCTAGAAAGCAGAGTAAACGCTGGTTGCTGTCCACAGCCTGTGGTACAGTGAATGTACAAATCCGTGCACAGGTAGTGATATAAAAACAGGATAAAGACAAGACTGAGGGAGTTTTCTGCACTGGTGAATGAGGACATAGTGTGGACATGCTCCAAAAGTTTGAGCCAGCTTCAGATTCCAAGAGTATGGAAAAGTTAGGGAATTTTTACTATAAGGCCTCTGTTTACTTACAGCTAATTCACAACTAATATTGACGATTATCTTTAGGAAATGGAAGCCTTGAGTCCTTAATATCAGAGCAACTTCTCCACTTCTCTCCCCCCATGGGAATTTATGACCTCGTGGAGCCCTTCTCTGGGCTCTCCAGTGAGAGCAATACAATATACTGGGTATATATAGCAGTCAAACAGCTGATCTCAGTGGGGCAAGATTACAATTTTTTCCAGCACATGTAACTGTAGGGATTTATATTCTTCTTCTTCTGCTTTTTACTAGTGGCTTTATGTTTATTTTGGGAGACTACTTTTTGAACAAATTACGGAAGTAATTTGTCCATTTTAAAAAGCCTGCTAAATGAAATTCCCCCAGGTTTTGAGTTGATGGAAAGCTGAGGTTTTTAGATATTAAACACCTACCAAAAAAAAAAAATCAGGACTCTGAGCAGCTCAGCTTGCCCTACCTTATCTTGCAGCTCATGTCATTCTGGCAATTAGCAGCCTTAACAGCAAATCTCGGGAAATCACCTCAAACAGAGACACACAATCCTTGGCATTCTAATCCCAAATCTCGGTTGGATATTACAAGCTATGAATTCAAAACCTATTAGAGAAGAAATCAGGAGATTTGGTTTCAAAAGTTCATTTTAGACTTGAAAGTGAAACTTTTGTGCTTCCCTATGGTACAAGGAGTTTCTTGGCACAGGTAGCTGGTTCTGGGGAATAGTACATTTAGCATTTTGATAGGCCACAAAACAGCAGGATCCAGGGATCTTTAGTTAAGATGATACATGGGAAATTACCTGGCTTAGCAGTAGTATCTGTGTTTATCTGTACATTTAGGCAGGTGGTTAACAAATTGCTATTTCCTTTAGAATTTACTGGGCTCTGGCATATAAAACAAGCCCGGTGATCATTGCACCTGAGCCAGACAGACTGTGTGGCTTGTTACTGTGACCCAAAATGCTCATACAGTTGTGGGGCAGTTCTAACAAATCCTAAATAATTTTAAATTCAAGCTCTAATTTAGTTGAACTTTAACTTCATAGTGTTTGAATTGCTAATGACTGCTCAGAACACAGTATTTTGGTGATTCAGCTTGTGATGTACAATTTATTTTATCTGTATTGTCTTCCTTAAGGGAAAATCCACTCCAAGAAAGCCTCTATTCTGCAAGGCAAGGGTTCCATTCTATCCAGGAGCCCAGCCAGGAAACCTTTTGTGGCCTGTCACCTAGTTTTTACCAGCCACCTATCCAAAGCCAGTTATCACCAACAAAAACCCAGGACAGCCGTGAAACCTCTCCTATGAGTGTCCCTAATCTCCCATCCGTTTCCTCTATGTGCCAACCAACCATGTTTAACTACGAACGCCCAAAACACTTTATCCAGTCTAAGAACGTGTGTCAAGGGCAACAGCAGCCTCCAGGACCTGCAGCCTCTACAGAGTCAAGCAGAGAAATCAAACAGTCCTCCATCCTCATCCAGCCTCGTAACCCCAGCGGGCAGAAATTCTCCTCCTCGTCATCGCTGAGCTCTTCAATCACGCTCTCCTCGCCTTCCTGTAGTGCCCCTAAGGAATCCACCTATCCCATCACACCTGCATCTGCACAGTCTCCTGCTAGCTCATCATCTGGGCAGAGGCTTCTACCCATGCCTAACCAATCCCCCGCAGCCTTCCTGTGCTCCGTGCTCCCCTCGCAGCCCGACTATAACAGCCCAGCTCCTTCTCCCGTGGGACCTCAGTAAGTACACACAGCCTCCTAACCTGCCCTGCTTCCCCTGGCCTGTCCCAGCACTGACCACCCGAAAGCAAGGCCCTGGTACAGCTGTGCCCGTGCACAGCCCCCCGGCTGCTGGTGTGCAAGCAGAGCCCTGCAGGGGTCGGGTGAGGAGGCTGAGTGCTTGCCCTTGCACTGTGGGCATGCCACAGGCTGCTGGGTGAGTGTTCTGGAGCTGGTTTGAATTGTTTAGGTTCATTTGACAGACATTTCTTAAGGCTATTTAGAAGAGAAGACAGGCACCTATATCAAATTAATTTCTTTCCAAGACATGTTTTATGAACAGGGAGACAGGGAGGAGGCAGTAGTATTCCCAACACAACTTAGAATCCTAGTGAGTCTCAGCAATATTTTCACAACATAATGTGAAGCTAAACTCACCTACAATACCCCTTTTATTAATCTTACATGTAAAAGAAAGGCAGCCCCTTGAAAATTTCACTCCTTTAGACCAAAGAATAAATTCTTTCCTAAATATGTATTATATCATTTTGCCTTTGGGCTGCAATCCAAATATTTTCCAAGGTCAGTGAGATCTCAAAGGGAGCTGGGCCTTGCCTTCTCACCAACTTGTATTCCTGCCAATATCAGCTGGAGGTCCTGGGGAAAGTCAGGGTAGAATATGCACAAAGTGAGATATTGGAAAGTTGATAGGGGCAGGGGGTCCTGCTGACTTGGATATAAATCCAGGTTTAAGTGTCAGTTTGCATTCAGGAAATCAGAATATTTCTGTCTGTTTTCTGAATCACAGCACTGAGGGAAGGGGAAAGGTAAGATGGGGTGGGTTAACTGGGGAGCATTTCCTGAAGTCCTGCAGGAGTGTGGGGGGCTTGGGACACTGCTGGGGTTGTGTTTGTAGTGTGGGGTTGTTTGTTTCCATAGCAAAGGGTTTGGGTGCCTCACTATGCTTTTCATATCAGCTGCTCATAGATGCAGCACGTGCTGAGTTGAGGAATTGTTTTCCCAGTCCCGCTGGTAATGGGCAAACAGGGACATGAGGTGTACTCATCTGTGGGGCAAATCACTCAAGTTTTATAACTCACATTAAGTTATTAAATCCAAGCAGTGCTGGGAGTATTCTGGAATTATAACCATTCTACTCTAGTCTAGTCAGCAGAAAAAATTCCCAAGCCACAGGAGGAAGAGGATTTGGAATAGAAATAATCTCTGAACACAAGTGCAGCACAGGAGACCCCACTGCGGGTCACAAACCAGGTTAGAGCCTATCAGCAGAGTGCTGTGACCTCCAGCAGACCTTTGCAACCCATTCTGATGGCTGCTCCTCTTTTCCTGGCATCTTTCAGAATCAGAAGTGGTACCAAGCTCCGGGAGCTGACTGCATCCCGTGGCTACGGATGGGGTCAGGCTGGCAGGGGCCACTGCAGGATGTAGGGATGCTGTGTTGTGGGAGGACAGTGATTTGGTTGCACCATGGTCCTTCTTTCCCTTAAGGTTTTGATGCTCAGTTGGGCAGCTTGGCCTGTTCTCCTCCCAGATGCTTTGTGGGTTCATCTGATCTGCAGTTCTTAGGAGGCAGGCTCACATTTTCATGTGCATTCTGTGAAGCTGTAGCAGATAATCCAGCAGGCCTGCAGGAATAACTGTTTTCTCTTCCTGTATGAGTAGTTACTCGCAGCCCATGTACAACAAACAAGCCAGCATCAACTCTATGCAGAAGACATCAGACCAAGAAATTCGAGGAACAAAGGAGGCCCTCATTCAGGACTTGGAAAAGAAACTCCGATGCAAAGACAGCCTCCTCCAGAACGGCAACCAGGTAAGGGACCAGGGAGCTCCCAGGGGTGCAGGCAGGCTGCAGAGACTGCTGCTGCTACCCCAGGGGCTGGAGCCTCCAAACTGAGCTAAGGAAGGAGGAAATGCAGGAGCAGCACTGCCCAAGGACCTTTACCCAGAACCTCAACAGATCCCACATGAGGAGAAGCCATTTATGACCAGAATATTCTTTCAATGTGAAAGAAAAAGGAACATGTTTAGAGCTGTGGCACAAATTTGAACTCTCTTCTGGGGATCCTGTTGAACATCACATCGACAGAAAATTAAAAATCCAAGGAGAATGCCTCCGTTCCCTAGACATGACTACAACCTGGTTTTCAGCACTGGAGTTAATGAACATCACAAAACCATTAGAACCTGAGGAAAAATTGGAATATTTGAAATTTCATTCTATGAACCACTACCAAATGGGGTAAATTTTTTATTTTATATGAACAACAATCAATGAAGCTTTTATATGAGCTTTTTTTTTATGAGTTTTTTTTTTTAATATGAGCTTTTATCATAAAGCCTGTTTCCTACAAGAAGGCCTCTTAGCCTTAGTACTTATTTATTTATTCTGCAGATGGTCATAATAGAATCCCCCTTACCAAGAAATCAAAATCTGGGGGAAAATTTTGCTACTAGTAGGGAAGCCCACTACAGCAAGCTAGAGCAGGCAGGTTTCTAATGTGGGAACCTTTCTGCTGGCTGTAGGCAGACTGGTAAAAGCCCAGTGTTTAAAGTTTCCATCTTCTTTCCCCTGAAATATAAGGAGTATTTCATGATCATCAGTGAGAACAGGTTTGTGTCATATACTGTAATTTTAAATACTGAATGGGCAAACAAATCGGTGAAATCTGACTGAATATGCCCCTAAACAGGAGAGTCCTATGTGCTGTAAGAAAGCTTGTCATAGCAAGGCAGCTTTTCTTCCCATAGGAAGCCAGGCTAAAAATAAGTCTTATGCAATCACCACCGTGTCCTCCTCCCTTGTCCTCCAACAGCGTCTGAGCCAGCTGGCCAATCTCAGCCACACTTGATACACACGTAAGGACCTCAGGGATATTCAGCTCTCACAGGTTTTGCTAAAGGTCTTGTGCTCTCTTCTAAAGAAAAGTCCCACAAGGCTCCCAAACCTTTCCCCACCCAGCAGACACATGTATATCTGTACAGAGAGAAATTCAGTCAGAGCTCGCCCTCGTGTCACAAAATCCAAACCCGAGTGAAACTTTGTGGGCAGCAAAGCGTCAGGTGTTCTGGTGCTAACATATTTCTAAAGTAACCCAACTGACAGAGCTTGAATTTAACTCTGCTCGTTTTTGTCCCTGTGTGCCTCATCCAGATTGCAGGAACTGGCTGTGCCATAAACGTGTCCTTGCCTCCTCCCCAGCCAGCTCACAGCATTTCACCCTTCAGATGTGCTGGCACAAACCTCCCCAGTGCTTCAGGGGCAGTGGTGCTCCCCTCTGGCTGTGCCTGCCTCTGGTGTGGCTCTTGCTTTTTTGGGAGCATCCATCATGCCTCCAGCTCCACGGCTGAATGATTTGGGAAGTTTTCCCAGCCCTAAGAGAAAGGTACCCTGGGACTTACTCTGGCTTCTGTGGATGATGCCATCAGCTACCCATAAATAATCCCAGCAGAGAAAGAGGAGGAGTGGAAGGACACAGATGGCATTAGGGAGGCTTTGATGAACAGGCAGTTTAATCTTTTATGCATTTCAGTGCTGTATATATTGAGGCTGACTTCAGTTGGCATCACAGACTGCAAACCCTCTGGGCCAGACGTGGGGCTTCTGGTCAGCTCCTGCTCATTGACAATATCCTGAATTTGTGGCGTATTAATGTGCTCTTAACAAGCTGATCTGAAATAGTAAATGGACTTCTGACTAGAATTCCTCTCCACTCTGCCTTCAGCGACTGACTTATGAAGAGAGGATGGCTCGCAGGCTGCTGGGACCAGTGAATGCTGCCTCTGTGCTGGACACACAGGGTGAAGACAGCATGCAGAATGCACAGGTAACTGGGCTCCTGCCCCTAGAGCAAGGATTTCCTGTGGTTGTGCTGTGGCCTGCTTGTACCTGGGTGGGGCAGAGATGGGGTTTACTTGGTGCCAGTGCAGGTGAGGGGTGGCTCTCAAAGGAGAGCTCTCCATGGCAGGAGTTTGGTGTTTTCACAGGCTGGTGGCAGAGGGGGAAAATTCAAGCACCATTCCCTTGCTGTGCCTGATCTGTAGGAGTGACCTTTCCAGGGAGGAATCCCAGCAGCTGCTGCACAGCACAGCACAGCACCCCGTGCCTGTGACAGGCAGGGAGCAGCCCCTGAGGGAGCCAGGTACCCACTCCCAACAGCCTGGGTGCAGCCTTGGCCAGGACAACAAGATTTACACCTGTCACTGTTGGGAATAAGTGACATTGGCTTCAAGAGGTCATGGCCTTGGGCTGGGATTGGTTGGGTTTTAGCCCTTGCAGGGGGCTGAAGCCATTAAGAGAAGGCAAAGCAGTTATTTCAGCAGCCCACATGCTGATAGACAAGAATCTATCACTACTGGCTTTTTCCAAAGAGTTTTAGTTGGAGAATTGCATCATTTGTTAGTTATTCAGGTGAGTTAGAAGCTCTCTTTGGCACTTCTATACTCAAAGTTAGTGGAAATGTCCATGGTATGGCACTGGGTACCTGTGCAGGAAAGAAAACACCCCTCCTGCTGCAAGCAGCAGAGAGCCAGGAGCAGGCACACACAGCCAAAGAGCCCTCAGCAAAACTCCTGCATGGAACAGACACTTAAGATCACAGCAAAGGAGGAATACACAGTTTGAGCTATTTCTCCCCAACAATCACCTGGCAAGATCAGGAAAGAAGGAGAAACCATGAATGTCAGAGAGCAAGGGAAGCCTCATCTTTTGCAGAGAACAAGGAAATATTCAGTCAAAACAGGATGACTGACAACTTTTCAGCACATGTGAAATGCTGCTTTAAAAAAATAACTTTGGAAGCAGAGATTGGCTTATGTTTGGGACATCTTACTTCCATTGTTCAGTCTGATTTTTACATATTGCAGTCACTGATTCATTCAGCCTCCTGATTCCTCAGGATCTTAACTCAGTCCATGTAACAGATCATTAGAATCACCAGCAACTTCACCACTATGGTGTAATTTCACAGGACAAGTTAATAACTGTACAGAACCTGTGTAAATGAGCAGATAGAGGCAATTGCCTTTGGACTCCACATGGAACTCAACCCTCATTCATGGTATATTCCCCCTGAACTTAAAACTGCATCCTTGCTTGAAGTTTAAACCCAGGCTTAAATGTTCCACAGGACTGGCTGCAGAGCACAGAACCAAACACTGGGATGGCTCAAGGCAAACACTCCAGAAATTTCCATGCAGCGTTTGCTCTCTCTGACTCCATGGCTAAAAGGAGCCGCTGGCACCAAACTCTGTCACCTTTTCCAAACATCCTGGCTCCTAACAGGAATCAATCCTGGGTACTTTAGCAGATTTAGCCACGTGGTTTCAGAGTTGTCAGCGAGCTTAGCTGGTGCTGTGATCTAGAAAGAAAAGTATTTTCCAGCTCAGCATGCATCCATCGCTGCTGGTACCATATTTAAGTGGGCACAATACGAGGCTCCTGCCAGCCATTCCACTGCTATTCCTGCTGTGGGAAGGACACTCTGTACTCAGCTCCCAGTTTAGATATTGCCAGGAGCGCTGCTCCTCTCTGACAAAGGTTATGGGCTGGCAGAAAACTTTGTGTGCCAGACAAAGCTGCTGCACCCATCACCTGGGCAGCGGTGAGAAGTTCTGCCATGGCAAAGCCCACGGTGAACACAGAGCGTGTCAGGTCCTCGTGCAAGTTCCTCTGCCTCCTGTCCCAAGGACTTCTGAAGTACATTCATTTTGTTTTCAAGCAGCAGTCAGGATATGAACTTAAAATGGCTTCTCAGTCAGTCTACAGATAAATCTTTCTAAGTGAACTCACCTCTCCTCTTTCTCTTCCCAAGCATCAGAATGCAGAAAACATCAGGCTGCAGGTTCCTACAACACATGTCAGGTAAAGCAAAAACTTGTGCTGTGTTATTCTTCAAGATCTTATTTCAAACATTTCTAGACAATGTTGGTTTAATGTCATTAATTATCACTTTTGCTAAAGTAGTAATTACCAAATTCACTCCCTTTTGACTAAAATGCTACCATTTGTGGATGGGTGATGATGCCTATGATCTTAATCCAGTGAATTCTAAACATAGCATTAGAAAGTTTAACTTCCTTGGGAGTTGGGAAATGCAACTCCCATGCACCCTGGAAAAATATTCTTTGTATTCTAGAAGATTAATTTCTAGTCAAATAAATAGAAATATTGAAATGAATATAAATTATGAAAACTAAGCAGCCAAGTTTCTTTTGTCAATTCTTTTGGACATTAGGCCATAATGAAGGTTATTCTTGTGTGTTGCATTGAACAACTTGACTGATCAAAAGCTATGACTTTCAGCTGAAAAACCAACCAGAAGTGTTAGATTCCTAAAGGTGTTGAGGGGCTCCAGCTGCAATCAGAGCTTTGATATCACTTGTGCTACAGTGGCTTTTACACAGTTAACTGCTCCTGTCCCATTTTCAGGAGCAGACCATCCTCTAGAGGCGACGATCGCGGACATGACTCAATCCAGGAGAAGTTTTTTCAGCCACGTTTTACACAAGTGCCTGAAGATGTAGTGATTGAGGAGGGGCGGTTCTGCAGGCTCGACTTCAAAGTAATGCCAACCTCTCCCTCCCAATCCCACTGCCAACCTCTCCCTCCCATTCCATTCCCTCTTGGGGTGTGGGGCATGGAGAAAGGTCTCTGCAGTGCCTTTGCATTTTAACAAACCAGAGCACTAAAGGCAGATGGTTCAGGGTCTCCCCAGGCTATGGAAACCAGGAAAAAGGAGACGTTCTTGGTTCTAAATACGTCAGCATTTTCTCTTGGAAAATGTAAGTGGAATTAGCTACATAAGATTATGATTAAAGCTAAGTACCAGTAAATATAGACCACTACAGAATGTCTCTAGACCTCCTTGAGAAGAATGAATATTAATGCCCTGCTGAATAAAGGCTTTTTGGCAGGGAACTTTGTGCTTTGCACAGGGGCTCCACTGCTTCAGTGGACACACGTCCAGCGAGGTCTGTGCAGGACTCACCTCCCTTGAGTGAGTCTTCCCCGAGGTAACTGTACCCTTGCTGGAGCAGAAAACAAGGCAAGGAAATGCCCTAAATAGAAACAAAACTCAGGAATGGCCTAAAAGTTCATGGCAGCTGTACCAACCCTGGGGTAAGAAAGGACCCTGTTGTCCCCCACAGGCTTGGGTTTTCCTAATGGCTGCCAACCTCTTTGCTTCAGTAAACTCTGGCCAGACTTACACATGGCCTTTAGCTGTCTTCCTCCAGGTTGCCCAAACTTCTGAATGCCGTGGAGAAGCTGGAGCGTGCCTGCAGGACAGCTTATTTCCAGCCATTACCAGTTATGGGTGTCAGCACTGCTGCAGTGACAGCTGTGGGAACAAAGGGCTGAACCCAAAATCAGCATCTTGGGCCTGATCAAAGCCACCTACAAGAAGGGAACAACAGGGGGTTGCAGGAACAGCATCCACTGTCTTGTAGCTAAAGCTCATCTTTCCAGAGCCCTCCATGAGCCTTTCTGTGCAACATCTCATTACTATTCAGAACTAGACAACACCATTCAGCTTTGCAGTAGAAACATGGTTTGATCACCCATCAGCATCAAACTCCCTGCAGGGTTGGAGGGATTTTATTATCTTTAACTCTTCACTGCTCTCCTCTCCCTCACAGGTCAGTGGGCTCCCGACCCCAGATGTGATGTGGTACCAGAATGGAAGGATGGTTCACCAGGATCAGTTCCATAAAATGATAGTGTCAGAAAAGGGGTTCCACTCATTTATTTTTGAAGCAGTCAAATCAGCTGATGCAGGGACATACGAATGTGTGGCTGTCAACCGTGCAGGAGAAGCATCTTTCACAGTAAAAGTGGAAGTAATTGGTAAGACTGAGAGCACTGATAATTCTCTGGACACACTGGGAAAGTCTCAGAAATCTACTGCTTTTCTCTCTGTGCTTGAGACATTAAACTAATAAGAAGCAGAGGTAGCACTCCACATATCCAGGCTCAAACAATAAAAATCAACTTACCTGTTCCAAGACTATTTTAATAACTCCATCTAGGATGCCATATTTCTCCAAGCCACTTCTGTCAGGATATTTAGATGTAGTAACATAGTGAGATGTCCAGAATATAATTTAGGTATAGTGAGATGTCTAGAATTTAATTTAATTTATGTTATTAATTTTCCAGGATTGATAACATATGTTAATTGACTCTCCTTCTAAAGTGGACTGGGTTTACCACACCCTTTAGCTCATGGGAACTGCCTGCAGGCTAAGGAGATGCAGTGAGGAACACGTGTCCTCCTGAATTTAGCAACCTGAAATCTTTAAAAAAAGGCATGACAAGAGCCTTCCACACTTCCAGTAACTCCTCCTTATCTCTCCTCTTTAATTCAGCTAAAGAACATCACATGCCTCCAACTTTCATTTTCAAACCACAAAGCAAAAAGGTTTTTGAAGGAGACACAGCCAGACTCGAATGCCAGATCTCTGCCATCCCAACCCCTCGGATTTACTGGAAAAGAAACAACGAAATGGTACAATATAATACAGACCGAATAAGGTATCCCACTGATGAGCTGGCCATTGTTGTGTTAGCAAACAGCAACCAGTATTTGCTCAATCCAATGTAAATGGGCTGCTCTCTGTAAGGCTGGAGAGCTGGATCTGCCCCTCGTGTGTGCCACAGGGGCACAGGCCATGTGCTGAGCCTTGTTTTGAGGCACAGAGGGAGAGAGCTGTGCCCAGGTGCTCCTGCAGCAGTAGAGGGCCCTGGGAGAAGCACAGCTCTAGGACTGAGATGTGCAGTGTGGGGCTGCACACCGGTGCCACCTGCATGGTGCCAGGCTGTGAATCGCTGGTGGCTCTGACACAGGCGCAGTGTTCACCTCTGAACAGCATGCAGTGCCCTGCAAGGATTGATCTGGGGCTTTCTCAGCTCCTCAGCATGTAAACTGACTCTGCTTTCTCTCCTTCCCCCTCAAAGCACTTAGGCATTAACTCCTTGATTTTTCAGCTTGCTCCATGACAATACTGGAAGGATTTGTCTCCTGATCCACAATGCCACCAAGAAGGATGCTGGCTGGTACACCGTGTCTGCTGTCAACGGGGCAGGGGTGGCCACATGCCACGCCAGGCTAGAGGTTGCAAGTAAGTTCCAGGCCACAGAAAGTGCATCTTATATTCAGAACTGGCCCTCAAGATTAATCTCATGAAGTTCAGACTGCTGGGAGGATTTATTTACTAGACAAAAAGTAACTATCCTGGGAAAAGATCTTCTCTTTAGTAGAGGACACTGTGGAGTGTCCTTTTGCACTTTTAAAGACTACAATTTCCCTGACACCAAGCAAGAGGGTGAATATAAATCTCTGGTGTCTGAGATATGGGTTTGTCTGCTAAATTCTTCCCAGGGGCTTGCTGGTTTATGTTGCAGATAAAAAGCAATGGGGTTGCTCTGCCATGGGTCTTACTACACTCTGGGAAGGCACTGAAAGAGGCTTTTTCTCTCTCTTCCAGCACATACAAATAAGCCACTTCCAGCCCCAAAGCAGTTACGGGTTCGACCAACTTTTAGCAAGTATTTGGCACTTAATGGAAGAGGACTGGATGTGAAACAAGCTTTCTCACCAGAAGGGGAGTTTCAGCGTTTGGCTGAGCAGTCTGGACTGTATGAAAGTGATGAACTTTAACTGGAAGTGAAGAGGAAAACCTCACACCCATCAAAGACAGTTACAACATAGATGCAGTTAATTGGTGATTGCTCTAACTAGCAAAATACCTACTGACATATTTTTACTTTGACTCTTGCACATTCAGCTGTTCCCATTTTACCATGTTAGATTTTATTTATATAGTTTGGTGACTGTAACCATTACTGAGTATTGCATTTTAACTAGAAAGCCTAAGAAAGCAGGTTAATTAGTTTTTACAAATGTGGGTGGGCTTAGTTCCACCTGTGCTTGGTTACATGCTAAGGTAGCTTGATTTGTACTGCTTCTCTAATATCACTCGTGATAATATCAGAAGTCTGTACTGTCTGAATACTAAAACCAAATAGAGTAGAGTGTTTTTATGAGAATAAATTAGAGGCAAATAAAATTTTAAATAACCAACATGAGCTGTGACTCTTCCTTGCTTGATCTGTTAAAAGCAGCTCTTGAATGTCTGGCATCAGCTGCAGCCTGGGAAAGATGGGTTCTTACCCTCCTAAGCTTTCCACTTGTCCCCTCCCCTGTCTGTTCCCACTGTCATTTGTCATCTGACATTTATCAAATATTTAGCATAAACTAAATGCCGACACCCTATTAACACTACATCGTGCCAGTGAGGCAACATCAGTATTTCTTCTCCTTGCACACTTGACCCAAAAGCTGCCCTCTATAATATGAATCAGTGGGGCTATCATGTTTTCCCTCCTTTCACTCCTAATCAAGGAGTGGTTGCAACTTATCCTTTCTCCTTGCACACTTGACCCAAAAGCTGCCCTCTATAATATGAATCACTGGGGCTATCATGTTTTCCCTCCTTTAATCAAGGAGTGGTTGCAACTTATCCCGCTGTTGACTCTCAACAAGCTGTTGATTTGAGTCACCCAGGTGGTTTGTGTGCTGCTGGTCACAGACACCTTGTTCAAAAACAGTATTAAATACCATGGAATAAAACCAAAACTGGGGACCTTTCAACTGCACTTACTACAAGAAAATTTGTGGGGGTTGATCTAGCCTGTCCTCCTCATCAAGGTGCACAGCGAGCAAACCTCTCAAGCATCTTCCAGAACAGAAAAAATGAGGCCTCAGTTCCACCCTGCACTGCTGTACCATGAAATAACTCCCCCAAATCTGATCTGTATAACACTGACTATTAAATTCCCCAAAAATCCTGCAGCTCTACCACCACACATCTCCTCTGGGCTGCCCAAGTGATGAAATACACTGAGATAACTCCCCTGTTGCACATTTGGAGATGGAGCTGATCAGATGAAAGCCAGCACGCAGTTTGCCCACGGGCTCCACTGGAAGGGTGGAAAGTCTGCATCATTTCTCTGGCAGGTATCTTTACACACAAGTCATGGAATAACTGAGAGACTCACTCTCCTTACCAGCAACCACGGTGTAAGCTGTACCTCATTCACTACTCACTCCTTACCCCACACATCATCCACCCAAAAGCGTCCCTGCAGTGGAAATGGCTCTCAATTCCCAGCAGCACGACTGAGTGACAAGTGGAAATGGCAGAGCAAGGTCAGAAGCTGCTGTCACCCTCTAAATTCAGCCTGTGAGCATCCCCTCCTTGCCCCTTCTATCTGGTGACGTTCAGGGTGCTGAGCACAGACGTGAGCAAAGCCATGTCCCAGCTCTGCCTGGAGGATGACAGGAGCAGCTCTGGGAGCTGATTTCTGGAGGGCAAGGCTTTCCTTGTAAATATGTTTTCACGTAGAGAAACAAGTGAAGAAGCTACCAGTGTAGTTCAGAGCAACCTCACCTCGTGGTTCCCCAAAACCATGTGTTAAATGTTGTGTTTTCAGCTCAGGAAAGGCAACCAACTCCTTCAAATGCATTTGGAGAAATCCTGAGTACAAACAATGCAGGCACTTCTGAATAACCAGCCTAGGAAAACAATAGGACAGCTGATTGCTGCATCATATACTCAACACAAGGAAAAAGTCTTCAATAAAAAGTATTTTCATATTTTATATTCATATCATATTTTTAAATATATCATATAAAAGGGATCCCTGTTGGATGGACTCTGCTGGGACAAATGCTGTCACAACACAACATTAACCCTCCCAAACAACAGCCATGCTTACTACAAGAATTTGCTGTTGGGAGTAGCCCAGGCCCACGAGCTGAAAGGAGACAACAACACTGGATCCATCTCCCTGTAATTCCACACTTTTTAGCATACTTACACCAAATGTCACTACTGAGCTGAAGACAGGTCTGACTTCAGTCTAAGGAATCAATCTGAGCAAGTAATCCTGTGTGAGCACAGAAATGTTTTGAAAGTGCCACAATTCTGCATCAGTAACGGCCATGAGTGCAATTAGCTGAGCTTTTCTCTTGTTTACATTGAGATAAACCATGGATTTGTTTTTGTGCCAACACTAAAGACGGGTATTTGGCATGGGAAATCCATAGCAGAGAGACAGGAAGAACTGGAAAGAGCAAGCCCAGCTGAGCAGAAGCACATGTTGGTGCTCCTATCTCCTCTATCATCTCTGGAGGAATCAATTAAAGGAGGCCTGAATTTAAATCACATATTTATAAATTGGAATCAGGCAAAAATACTCTGGAAATGCTCTGCTTCACACACTTCATTTAGCACTGATTTAACACAATGAGAGACCACGTGAACATGCCTAAGTAACAATAAACTATGTAAACCAGAGTTATTGCATTTAAGCTAATGAAATAAGGCTTTAAAGTAATAAACTGCCTGGCCCATGTTGGGTGAAATCCAGATTAATAAGGAATTGTTGTTTTGTGAAGGTACTGAGCAACTAAATAAAGGCACTGGGAATATGCTAAGGCTGTCTATATCCTGAGTATTTCACATAAAGAAAAGTGTTATTTCAAGGTCTGTTTTAAGTGCTTAGTTTTGCATGCAGAAGAACACAAGGACTAATAAGGATTACAACATAAAAATTCAGGCTTACATCAGTTCAGGTTCCATAAGCTGAGCTGCTTTATTTTCCCATTTCAGAGAGATGGAAATACACCTCAGCCCCCTCATTATCCCCATGGCACTGGGATCTATGGGCTGGTACAGCAGTGGAGGACATATCTTCACCTAAATCAAAGCAGGAGAGTGAGGAGAAGTTGATGTTTCTCAGGCAGAACAGCTGGATCCCTAGAGGAACCAGAGTTGCATTAATCATACTTGTGTTTGTATTTCATAAACATAAATGTATATGTATTTCTCAAGATGCAATGGTAATGTGAACCTCTTCTGGATAATCAGGTGAGCTCTTACCTTTACCATGCGTGAAATCCAATTTACTGAGGCATGATGCTTCCATAAAAGCACAGGGAAAGGCTGGGCTCCTCAGGTAGCAGCAGGCATGACAGTAATTCATTAAAAATGCAGAAATCAGATCAGGGAGCAGACCCAGATCCATCCTTCCCATTTTTTGGCAATTGTTGGTGTCTGGTCTGCACACTGGTTGCTGCTGCTGTTGGAAAAGATTTTTTCAGCCAAAGACTGTATTATTAGTCCCTGTTATTAGCAATATTAGACAATTAAGGCCTGAGATGATTCAAAAGGATTGTATGTATCACCAGCCCCCAGTTTTTCCCTGGCACCAAGGCTGCTCTCAGCTCCCCACACCTCTCCTGAAGCCCATCGGATCAGTCACGCGTCGGGATGAACTCCTGTGGCCCTGACAAGCCTTGTGTTGCCTCTTTGTCATTGCACCCCTAATCTAGGGAGCTACAAAGACAGTAAAACTGAGAAAGAAATGCTTCAGAAGTGCCTAGCAGTGGCTGCATTTGGGGGTGAGTTACCCCTTGACTTTCACCTCTGTGCTTGCCAGCCTTGGCCAGCCCTGGCTAAAGAGGCAGAAGAGCCCCAGAGCCTGCTCAGACCCAGTCTAACCCGTCCTGCCCTGAAGAGGCTGCACACACCAGGCTCCAGGGCCCCTTTCTGGCCTTGCTGTGGCTCTGTGCCCTCCCTACTCTTTATCCACCCTGTTTGTTTTAGCCTGAATCCTGGCAGAGCAGGGAAGTGCTGGAGCAGCTAGAGCTGGCACAGCAGAACTGGGATGTGTGTGGCGTGTGACACAGCACAAGGCCAGAGCTGCCACAGCACAAACACAAGAGCTTTGGCCAGAAAAGTCTCATATATACAGCTTATGACAAAACATCCAAAAAGCTCAGCTTCTTCAAATCTAGCCATGTTTTGAAGCCAATCCAGTCTTTCCTGTGCAGAATGAGAGCCTGAAGAGCGGGCAGGGAGCTGGGCTGCAGCTTCCCTGGCTCCTGTTTTCATTCAGGATCCATCCTTGCCCTTGCCTCCAGCACCTCCTGTCCTGGAGGAGGCTCCCTGCTAAAGGAAGAGCTGCTGGCTGATGCCCATGCCTCCAGATTGCTGTTTCCTTGCATCCTGGTAAGTTCTTTACAACATGTTGTAAACATGCTGTCAACATCTTCCTTCCCTGGATAAAAGCATTGGCTCAGATTCCCTTTCTCTGTACTCAGGAATCACTGTTCTCCCCAGCACAGCACAAATATTCACTTTTACCTTTTCATGGGTGAGTTGCAAAGGTGCAGCTCAAAGGGAGAATTCTGTTTAGAAGATTCCAGAGGGGTTTAAAACTACCTCCCCCTCATGAACATGGGCCACACAAATTCCAAGCTCATCTAAAAAAAAAATTTGCACGTGGGCAGCTGTCTCCATTGGAGCAGCTGGGAAATCACCACAGGCAAAGATCCTCCCTAAACTCAGCCTTTTCCTAGACCCAGTGTTAGCCAGGTATCACCTGTACAGACAGCCTGGCTGTAAGAGAGGAAGGCAATCATAGCTTTGTAGCCAAAAGCTATGAAAAAAGTGACTCCTTAACTGCAGAAGGAGGCAAAATGTTCTGACCTTTATTCAGGACTGCCTTCACACCTAATTTAATTGCATTTTTATTTGCAAATACATATGCTGACCTCTGGACAGAGAGTGCATACTTCTCCAAAATTAAGCACTACCTTTGTTCCTAACCAGGTGCTCTGGGGCCAAACCAATGGAGACAGTGCTGAGGAAAAGGTAGGCTTTATTCTTTCCAGTAATCTTAGAAACTGCTGGCTGCATTTTGGAAATTGAAGAATACAAAAGGAGTCACAGTTGCCCCCACTGTGACTTACAGAAGCTATTTCTCCACAGGATACTATTTTCAACCTCATAGGAATAGCAGAAGCTAAATCTATAAATAAAGAAAAATCACCGATTATGCCCATAAAGTCAAAGGAAAGCTTATTCAGGCCAGGCCATACACTGCAGCAGCAGAATTGGCAGCAGGATGAGATCAGCGAGTTTTAGTGATTGTATAAAGTTGTGAGCTGGACATTTCCCCAAACCTTAACCAGAAACAGATGTATGGAAAACAAACAAGTTTCACAGCAAACTA